TCTATAACATTACACAATCAGTTTGAAATTCAGTACAACATAACTCTTATATTAAATGGTGCATATTAATTAACTAACAAACTTATCACAGTAGTAAGTTGTTGTTGGACATTCTCACGAGACTCGAGTTTGAATTTCAGTGGCTTCAACATTGAAAATATTTTTTTCAAAATCAGTTTGAACAATAAAATCAGTTCATCGAACCGCAGTTCTTGACTAATTCACGGAGTCGATAGCATGTTCGGGCCAAGTTTGAACAACACTGCACATACTTGTCTCAGCCATATTAAAGTACTATTTTCAATAACATAACATTAGTAAGGAGAAGTGACCCTCATTAAGTTTGATGGAAATGGGAAAAGTCAAGATCCAATAAAAGGCTGAACTAATCATTCGGATTCTTTCAACCCCAGCCCCAAGGTCCCCAACCATGTTATAAGTTTATTATATGATCGGCTGATATTAAATGAAGATGTATTATAGAAGCTAAAATATAAAAATTATAATTTTTATTTAACAAAATTAAGAGAGTAAATTTTTAGAACCTTATAATTTATTATACCAATTTTTAATCAACAATTATAATTTTATACTTTTTCGTCAACAATTTTCACTATAAAAAGTAAAACTTTAAATATTAGCCTTACATATTATTTTATTATACATAACTTCTTTTTTTCTAATGGTATAACAAAAAAAAAAGTACATTTTAATAAACATTTCTTTATCTTAATTTTTTCAAATAAGAAAGTATAAAAGTGGTATATCAAATTTGGATTTGAATCTTCTCATGTAAAAAAGTGGTCATGTGGTCATATTATTTGATCACAACCACTCATTAATGATGAGATAAAAGAGAAAAGTGTATGACTTTTAAACGAATAGTTGTGATCAAATAATATGACTATTTTTTCACATGAGATGATCCAAATCCAATACATGTTGTATACATCTAATATTTATAAATCTTTACTGACTGATATTTAAGTTTTAAAATAAGAGACATGATATACTTACCATCAATTAAGTTTATCAATTTTTACTACCAAATTTTAATTGTTGATTTCCGTTAATCTGACGGTTATAACTTATTGAGAATTAATAATTAATTAATAAGTGACATTCAATAAATTATAACTGTCACACTAACAGAAATTAACAATTAAAATTTTATGGTAAGAAGTGATAAACTTAATTGGTGGTAAGGGAATCCCTCCCCTTAAAATAATATCTTTGTTTTATTATAATTTTCATGACTCCACCGTAAAAGTTTATGAGAATAAAGTTTAATATATATTATAACATTATTTTTTGGGAGAGACGATAGACTTTAATTGTGATTAAGCCCTGACTCAGGATTAGTTTTATAGTTGACTCAAATAGTTGAAACTTGTAAGAATACTGGAAACCGTCTCAAAGAAATAATTAGAGTCAATATACTAAATATATATATATATATATATATATATATATATATATATATATATATATTATATTAGGGTTTGGTGTTTGTCATTTCAAATGAGATAAGTTATATTATTTTAGGAGAGAGATAGACACAAAGAATGAAAATCATTGGGGAGAAAATGAGTGGTTTTTTTTAATTTAAATTTTAAATAAAAAATATTATTTTGTGTCTATCTCTCTCTTAAAATGACATAACTTTATGTCAGACAAATACTTTTTCCATATTATAATACTATTATTAAATCATCCCACATCCCACTATGACTTACATGGGAACCATACTTCTAAAGGAATCCAATTAGCTCGTAATTATATAAGTTGACTACGAAGTATTTTAGCTTTTTTCTTAGTTCCACCCGAAAACTTCTTCATCACTTCTTTCTTTTCTTAATTATATTTTCAGTATTTCCCTAAGCCAAGCTAAGCATGATGCAAGGTTGATATGCCGATGCCATAATTTAATATTTAAGTTCATTTACAGTGTTTTTTTCAGATAAATTTCATTATAAACGGAGCTAAGTAAAGTTAAGACACATGTGACAATGTAAAAAAGAAAGTATAACGGTAGTATGTTATACAAATCTTTAATTACCAAAAGTCAGTTAAACAGTCAAGAGTTTGGGCAATTAACAAAAATTTATGAATTCTATTCTCAAAACTGGAACTTGAAACCTCTAATTAAAGTGAACAATTGATTACCAAAAAAAAAAGTGAACAATTAACTTGAACCAATGATTATTCATATATTTTGTTTTTTTAACAAAGCATTAATTGGGATAATTTTATTCTACTAGACAAAATACTCTAAATCCTTATCCAGCTATTTATAAAACATGTAATTCGAGTACAAGGTCACACAGAAAAAAGATATTGATGCACAAGCGGACAACCCATCTCTATCTTGGCCTTATGGCACAAATTTGAAGATAAGTTTAATTATGAAAAAAAAAAAGTCGTTAATTTTTATGACTAGAATGCCCTTGGGAACAGGTGCCTAACGACATGTGAGTGTTGAGATTGCAGATGGCAGTTAGTTCCTTGTACTAGTTGACAAAGCAGCATAACAACACCTGCCACTGCCCCAAGAAAAACGGGGACTTTCTCATTCTGTGCTACTGAACAAACCCTCTACCTCTCCCAACAAATGCCGTTTTCTAAGCTGCACAAGATAGTTGGCCATGACACATTGAAAGCCACACATTCATTTATTTATTCACAGTTATAATTTTAATGATAAAGTTTGTATAAGGAAATAGATGAAATAGTCATTTTGATTGACCATTGTTAATGAATGAGGTTTCTCACATGATATATATATATATATATATATATATATATATATATAGGTAGGATCCTTTGACACCGGTGTCAAATTTTAAATTTGACACCTCATCTGATAGTCATTAGATCAAAAAAAATCAATGGTGTCACATGCTTGCAAATCAGAGTCGTTGATCTTTTTTGATCTAACTGCTCTTAGATGAGGTGTCAAATTTAAAATTTGACACTGGTGTCAAAGAATCCTACCTCTCATATATATATATATATATATATAGGGTTCGCTTTTTCTACGGTCAACGTAGATAACTTATCTACAGTGAGCTCAAAACGACGTTGTTTTGAGGCAGAAATCAAGGTATTTTTGTAATTATAATTTATTTCAGGGTTATAATAGTCTTTTTCATTGTAATTTTTTAACCCAAAACAACATCGTTTTGGAAGTGAATGTAGATAACTTATCTACATTCACTTTAGAAACATTAAAGCCATATATATATATGGGGTTTACATTTGTCATTTAACTTGACACAATAAACTTTTCTACACACAATATTTTGTGGGACCCACACCTTTTAAAGAAAAAAAAAGAAATCACGGCACGCAAAACGAATCTCTATAACATTACACAATCACTTTTCCTACAACATAACTCTTATAAAACCATATATATATATATATATATATATATATATATATATATATATATATATATATATATATATAATCATTTGACACCGGTGTTAAATTTTAAATTTGACACCTCATCTGATAGCCGTTAGATCACAAAAGATCAATGGTGTCATATGCTTACAAATCGGAGTCGTTGATCTTTTTTGATCTGACGGCTCTCAGATAAGGTGTCAAATTTCAAATTTGACAATGATGTCAAAGGATCCTACCTCATATATATATATATATATATATATATATTGAAAATATTTCAATCGGTTCATTGTTTAGTGACTAGTTCGATTCGGGACGAATTCCAGGTTTAAGCCTTTAAACCCCTTCCAAAGATGGTAATACGAAGGATCGACCTTCCAAAGATGGTAATGTGGAAGATTGAACACATGCTCTTACCTCTACCTACTTAGTTCCCTGGCGCCAACTGAGTTACCCTCATTTGATTCACATGATATATTTTGACGATGGATAATTAATAGATAGATTTGTTTTTTATATTATCCATCTATTTATGGGTTATTTAATTAGTCACATTCAAATTTGATAGAACTTATTGGGAGCACTGATTAAGTTAAAATAATCTTTTACTAATTGATTCGCCTATTTGGTGGAATGAATACATTTCTCGTATAATATGATTATGTTAAAATGGGATATGATAGGATTCACTCACATTTCTCAATTTTTTATTTATTTATTTTTTTGAACTAGACATCTAAGCCCCATTTCATTGGTCCCAGCTCTTGCATCTCACCCTTTCTATTATGAGATCTCAGATTTTGTTCTCTTCATCTTTTTCTTTTTTTTTCCCTTTATAGTTAGCTGCACTTTGTGTCAAGTTATATGCTGCTATTATTACTGAGAACAATGAAATGGGGAAGTTATACGCTGCTATACTCAGTACATAGTGATTAGTGAGAAGGATTTAATAAAACACCACTTGTGTTACAAGTGAGAGAAGGAAACAAGAAATAGATGGGTGGTCAGGTTTTATGGTAGGTGACTAAACAACCACCTTTATGCTCACATGCCTTCTTTTTATGTTCATTATAAAATCTTGCCTTTTTGATTTTCTCATGTCATTTGTAATGACGTCCGGTACCTATCCTAATTTTTCAACACCTCATTCATTTTTCTTTGATGCAAAGAAAAGATAATTACCCACCACAATGTCACTTTTGGAATTTCATTACAACCAAGTGCATTTATATAATTTGCCGAGGTGGAAAGCTTGCGAAAACAACACAAACTGTGTTAAAAATCTGTTACAATTCCTTAACTTTCAAGGAGAACCAAAATCACGAGCTTAAAATTTGCAGCATAGGAACTTATTCTCTGAAGTATGAACAAAGCAATCAACATATGTCACCCAAAAAAAAAAAATTAGAAAAAAAAGGGGAAGAGAACAGATGAAAAGTTCCTTATGAACTACTTGAAGAATATGAGCAGAACAGAAATACCTCAAAGAAGAGATGAATCATGTAATGAAATAAATGCAGAAACTTTTCTATACAGTTTGAAATCTTCACTCTGAAGTTGAATCATTGCTGGAATGAACTATATGAGGTTTAGTTAGACATGAGGCCTACCAGTGCCTCCTGCTTGTGGATACCTCCAAGTACCCACCAGGGTCTATAAGGCTCAGTGACATTGCTATTACTTTCATCATCTGTAGGAGCAGGAATATTAAGATCAAGGAATTCCCTAATTTCTGGGACTGATTCCTGAATTTGACTTTGAAAGTTTCTACCCTCAAACCCACCAGCCAAATGAGATCTTTTGTGGCCACCCAAGGCTTGCCCTGAAGGAAAAACCTTGAGGCAAATTGGGCACTCGTGCCCTTTGTTCTTCTTGGAGACTCTATCCACTTCATGTTCTTCCTTATATTCATTGATATCACTATTCTTCATGAGCTTGCTTTCTGTTGTTGTTGTTGTTGGGTCAGGGTAGAGGTCTGCTTCAAATTCAATGCTGTTTTCACTTCTTGAAGCAAAGCAACCTTTGATCTTCTTATGACTAGCTCTATGGCCTCCAAGAGCTTGGTAGGAGTGGAAGATTTTGTTGCAAGTAGTACACTCAAACTTGCCTCTCTTGTGAGAGCTCTTGCTGAATTCAGCTTCTGAAGGCTTGCTAACACAATTCTTCAAAGAACTTGACTTGGATTCAGAATCCAAAAACTTTGCCTTGATTGGAGTGTACTTTTTACTAGTAGCCGAATTTGACAAAACTAATTCTGTTCCATTGGCATCATATGCAGGCTGAGAATCAAGCTCAGAATTCTTATCCTTCCCATTCTTGATGAACCCATTAATGGAAACTCTTGTTTTGTTCATCCTAAATCCATTCACAGGACTCTCAGTATCCAAAAGTTCTGAACTTTTTCCTTTGGAGTTGAGATTTGAAGAAACCCAATTGCCAAGCCTCTTGCCATCAATCTTAGAAACCATATTATTAGTGGGAACAGAAGATGATGCTTCCAAGTGCAAAGAGTTATTGTGAGAGGACTCAACAACAAAATCCAAACCACCCCAAGGACTCAAATCCCTGCTAAGCATCATCAAGCTCATAGCAACCTCTTCGTGTTCATGTTCAGCCTCAGAAACAGAAGATGAAGGATTGGTAGCAAAGGACAAAGAAGAAGTTGATGGGGTCAGGTACCTTGTTCTTCTCTTGGATCTTTTCCTTCGATTGGGAGCAGTGGCTTCATCATCAGATTGGCTAGCATTGTTAGTCCATGAATCTTGATCACCGAAGCTGTTATTGGACACTCTTTCTTTCTCAGAATGGCACTTCATGTGACCAAACAAAGCTTTCCAAGAGGGAAACCCTTTACCACATTCTCTGCAGAACTTGTCCAACACAGAAGTGTCTTCACTTTTATCTGTGAGTCTCCAAGTTTTCTTGGGGTTTTCTCTAAGACCATAACCAGCATTATTAGTTCCTGCTTCAGAACCTTCTCTTCCTGTGTGATCTCCATCATTGTTGTTGTTGTTGTTGTTGTTAAGAGATGAAAGCTTCCTCGTTGTTGCAAACTTCTCCTCTGTCTCAGCGGAAACATTGATCACGTGAGACCTCACGTGACCTCCCAAGGATCTACCACAAGGGAAGCTCTTGCTGCAGAACTTGCACGCGTGTTTGAGTTCTTGATCTTCTTCCATTGGATTTAAAATCAAAAAGGGTTACCGGATCACGATGCTGAATCAGAAAATACCCAAGAATGCTGAATTGGTCGATCTCATCAACACAAGTGCTCATAAAAACAGAGGATACGAGGGAAAACTAGCAAGACCCAGATCAGATTATCAAGTACAAAATCCGAATACTGCATCAAGTCACATCGCATCTTTGCAACTTGCCGAAGTGAAGAGAAAACCCATCTCTGGATTTACACCAAAGTTCCAAGCTAAGTGCAAGATCTCAGGCACAAAAGGAGGAAAAGAATAAGGCCAAGAGAACGTGTTGTAAAGCTTCCTCAGGCTCAGGCTCAGGCTCAGCTGCTGCTTTCCTTTGGAAGTTGAGTTTTGAAGAAAAAATTAAACTTGAAGAGGTTAAGATGAGTTTTGTGTTGTGTTTACCTTTGTTACTAATGATAGCTATGATGAGCAAGCCAAGGGAGAAAAGAACTATTAAGAGTGAACGAGCGTGCGTTTGTTTCTCTCTCTCTCTCTCTCAACTTGACTATATTTGGAGGAGAAATCCATGCATGGAAGCAAAGATTAAAATAAAATAAAATAAAGAAGAGCGGTAAAGAGAGAGAGATAGATAGATAGAGAGGGACAGCACGTGTCCTCAACTGAGGATACTACGCCACCCCTTAATCCAACGCTCTCAGATTTGTCCACGTCAGCACCTTATAGATGAGGAACCACCCACTTAAAAACTAACTGCATTCCCAACTATCCTTCCTTTGTCTTGCTATTAAGGAAATGTCTTTTTTTTTTTCTCGGGTATAATGATAACACTAAAGTTTGAACCTATAATTTCACGCAGCCTAATGGCTCGAAGTGAAATGTCTCTCTTTGTGTGTAAGTGTGTGTGAGTGCGAAGACACACTTGAAGTGAAAGGTTCTACTATCTGCCAGTTATTCTTCTGGACTTCCTATTACTAATTTGTGTTTTAATTTGCTGGATTTGAAACAGATTTTTCAAGTGGGTCCATTGGGTTACCCTCCATCAAGTTCCATTTGCTTCATATTCCAACCAAAGCCTGCCAATGCGCCATGCCACTGTTTTCTTGATTCTCCACATTTCAAGGGCATTTTGGTAAAGTAAAATTCCTCACACATTTGGATTGGTGGGTCATTATCAAGTAGGGTTGGTTGCTATTTTTTATTTAACTCTCTGGAATTCTTATTGTGTCAAAATAATGGTGTCATCTTATAAATATTTTTGCATATTTATTCTTTCTCTACTGGGGTAATTATATACATAAATGAAGATTCTAGGTCCATTACAAATTAGTTGTCAATCAGCTATGAATAAGGAAATGAAATAACCTGTTACTATTTCTATTTAATACAAATCTCCTATGATTATGTCAATCAACTGCAAATAAGAAAATTAATCTATTTAATACAAATCTCCTATGATTATGTAATTGTGTAATCAATGATTAAAATTCCAACAAATGTACAACTCAGCAAATATTATCTCATTTCAACACTCCCCCTCAAGTTGGTGCATAGATATCAATCATGCTCAACTTGCTAATTGCTTCTTCAAACACTTTTCCTAATACAACCTTTGTCAAGATGTCGGCTAACTGATCTTCCGATTTGATGTAGGGAAATTGAATAATTTTTTGATCTAGCTTTTCCTTGACAAAGTGTATATCCACTTCTACATGCTTGGTTCTATCATGTTGAACTGGATTATGGGCAATTTCAATAGCAGCTTTATTATCACAATGTAACTCCATAGGCTGATTGTAGCAGATTCCTAAGTCCTGTAGGATGCTCTTAATCCACAACAATTCACACACTTCATGTGCCATTCCTCTAAACTCTGCTTCTGCACTCGATCTAGCCACAACTTTCTGCTTCTTACTCTTCCAAGTAACTAGATTGCCTTCAACAAAAGTAAAATATCCTGAATAGACTGTCTGGTAATTTTATCTCCAGCCTAATCTGAATTTGTGTAGCCTTTAACTCCAGGACTATTATTTTTTGAGTAAAGTAGACCTTTCCTGGACACCCTTTTAAATACCTCAATATTCGATACACAGTAGCCATGTGATCCTCACTTGGGTTGTGCATAAATCTGCTCACAACACTAACCGCATAAGAAATGTCTGGCCTAATATGTGATAAATAAATTAGCCTCCCTACTAGCCTTTGATATCTACCAACATCAGTCTATACTTGATCAGGATATAAACCCAATACATGATTCATTTCAATTGGTGTTGCTGCTGGTTTACATGTTGTCATTCCTGATTCGGCAAGTAGATCTAAAATGTACTTTTTTTGTGACAAAAAAATTCCCTGATTTGATCTAGCAATTTCAATTCCAAGAAAGTACTTTAATGATCCTAGATCTTTCATTTCAAACTCATTTGCTAAATGTCTTTCCAATAACTCCATTTCAAATAAATCATCACCAGTCAAAACCATATCATCAACATATACTATTAACACTGTTACCTTTCCTCCATTATGTTTTATGAATAGGGTGTGGTCTGCATTACTTTGTTTGTATCCAAACTTCTTATGAAGAAAGAGAATCTGCCAAACCAAGCTCTAGGTGATTGCTTGAGGCCGTATAGTGCTTTTTTTAATCTACACACTTCATTTCCCTTCAAGTTGGCATGTTTGGCGCCTGATGGAATTTCCATATATACTTCTTCTTCTAAGTCTCCATTTAAAAATGCATTCTTTACATCAAATTGCTTGAGTGGCCAGTCCCTGTTAGCTGCTATAGAAATCAGAATACGAATTGTGTTCAGTTTTGCTACTGGTGCAAATGTATCTTGGTAATCAACCCCATATTTTTGTGCGTATCCCTTAGCAACTAATCTGGCTTTACATCTGCCAAGGCTGCCATCTGCTTTAAGCTTCAGAGTAAACACCCATTTGCATCCAATTGGTTTCTTCCCGGTTGGTAAAGGAACCAGGTCCCACGTTGAGTTTTTTTGTAAGGCATTCATTTCTACATTCATGGCTTCCTTCCAATTTGGATCATCCAAAGCATCCTGCACATTGTTAGGAACAAATATACTAGACAATTGATTAACAGATGCAATATATGATTCTGACAACCTATGATTGGACATGTAGTTACCGATAGGGTATTTGACCTTAGAGTTTGGATCTGGTTCATAAAGCTATTTTGGTACACCTTTATTTGGTCTTTGTGACACTCTGACAGGTAAGATGGGACCATCTATGCTAGTAATAGAAGGTCCATTTGAAGAAATAGGAGTAGGATTAGTGTTTACCTCAAGTATGGATTTAGGAACATCCAGGGACGATGCCTCAGTTATAGGTGTTAGATGCGTAGCAAAATCATTTGTGGGAGGAGTAACATCTGGTTCAGGAGTGTGTTGAAGAGTTATAATTTCTTCTCCAGTAGTAGGTATCTCCCCCTGAGAAGAAGTAACAGAACCCCTGAATAATATGGTTCTAATTCTCTAAAAGACACGTCCATGGTAACATGCATTTTGTGGAGAATGGGATCATAACACCTGTAAACTTTTTGTACATTAGAGTAACCCACAAATACACATTTTTTAGCACAAGGATCCAATTTGTTTCGTAATACCTTGGGTATATGGACATACACCGTGCACCCAAAAACATGAGGCTCAAGGTTGGGAATGTGAGGAATGGAGAAATAAGATTCCAGTGTATGTTGTGGAGTTTTAAAGTGAAGGGCGCTGGATGGAGTACGGTTGATGAGGTAGGCAGCAGAAACAACAGCTTCACCCCAATATGTTTTAGGCAAATTCATACCAAAAAGGGAGGCACGAACCACTTTTAGTAGTTGTCTATTTTTTCGTTCAGCTAGGTCGTTCTATTGGGGTGTATAAGGGCAAGAGGTTTGGTGTCGGATCCCCTGTGTGCTCAAGAAATCAATAAAGTGGCCATCTAAATATTCCCTACCATTATCAGATTGTAGAATTTGAACCTTAGACTGATATTGGGTTTGGACCATGCTGTAAAAATTTTTGAAGGCATCAAAGACATCACTTTTGTATCTTAACAGTGACAACCAAGTCATCCAGGTACATTCATTAATAAAAGTCCCATAATAGTAAGCTTTTGAATTCATGGATTCTTGTCGATCCGTGTTTTGGTTTTATTTTTTCTTATTTCGTTCTTTCTTCGATGTCTGACCTCATAAGCCGGGTACCGTGTATGCTGTTTCAACATTCCTCCCTCAACCTTTTTGGTCGAGGTACGTAGCTCGGACTAGTTGACCAGTCTTTTTTACTGTCGTACCGAGATCTTGACTTATGAGGATTGTTGCTTTCTTCTTTTAATTTTGGTTGTATTCCTGCACTTTATAACACCTCGCAATTCTAAACTATGTATTAAAATAATAAATGAGAATTTAAGGGAAGGATTAGTGAAAATCCTGAAAAATAGGCCAAAATACAAAGAAAGGGCAAAACGGTAATTAGCCAACACGCAACTAGGGGTGTAAATGGGCCAGGCTGGCCCAGCCCAGCCTACGGCCCGGCCTACATTGAGCCCAGCCCAGGCCCGACCTTTCAGAAAAATAGAGTAGGCTTAGGCTTATAAAAAAGATTTTTTAATAAATAGGCCATAGGCCAATTTTGTCAAGCCCGGCCTACAGCCTTGTAGGCTGGCCTATTTAATTTATTAAAATAAAATAATAAAATAACATTTATTTTATGTGGCAAAGACACAAAGTACCAAATACTAATATCTCTTACTTTTTGTGCTATTTTATTCTATGAAAGGAAAACTTGTCTAATGTCTCCAAATTTTACATGTTGTTGCAGCTTAATACCATAGAGCAATGGGTACCTTGCTGGATTATGATGTTGCTGATGAAAATCTTTCAATAATACTCTTCTTTCCCTTATCTTGATGGTGATTTAAAAATTTTTAAATGAATGACATTCTCTTGTAGACTTTATTTCAGCATCCAGTAATTGTATTTTTCATATTTTTTCCATTTCTTTGACTCTATTCCTCTATGATATACATTCTAGAGCTGAGGTAGTATGTTGACTCTTTCTTGTTTGTCATTTTTTTCTTATGAGAAGTATTAGTGCATGCATGAATGGAGCTTTCTTTGCTCTATACAATTATTTTTTTTGCTTAGTATATATAGTGGGAGGCCTACAAGGCCTGTAGGCCATGTCGGGCTTTCTTATTTTTGAAAATGGGCCGAGCTTGGCCTACAAATAAAGCCTTTAATAGGCCAGTAGGCCAGATAGGCTGAATTTTTTTTGACGTAGGCTTGGGCCAGGATGGCCAAAGCCCAGCCCAGCCCAGCCCATTTACACCCCTACACGCAACCCTAGGCTGATAAAAATTGAGTAGAAGGTCTCATATGATAAAAATAACCCTGGAAATGGAATCGGAACGAAAAATCGAGTGGATAGGCAAGTTTCAGAAAATTTGATG